TGTCGCGTCAAGGGTTGGAATCCTGAAATATGGATTTGGCTCTTGGATAAGTGCAAGTGTACAAGCAGCCTTCCACCATGTACCCTTGGAGGCATAACCTGCGATTTACCTCCCTCACGATACTCCATAATAGGGGCGGTGGGGGACCCTTAAGGTTGGGGTTCAACCTTTTTAAAGAGTTATATCAAAATTTGAAAGGATAAAGGAATTAGGTAGTGTTTGATAACCTCCAATTTCATGGAAAATGGAAATTCATTTCCACTTTTTGCCAAAAATAAGTGTTTGATAGGTAAAATTTTTTAGGGAATTCATTTCCATGATTCTTGCAACCTAAGCCAAAAAATATTTTTTTTAATTGACAATTTTAATGTAAAACAAAGTCAAACGAACACCAAAAGATAGATTATTTTCTTGATTTTTTTTTTTGGGTTGGCAATGGAAACAAATTTCATCCTCAATACTAGTAAAATTTATCCCTTTAATTGATAATTTTCATGTAAAATAAAACCAAACGAACACAAAAAAATACTTTTATTTCAACATTTTCCACTTAGAAATTTATACCAATCAAACATAATAATTTACAATTCTCAGGAAAATAATTTCTAGACAATTCAATTCCCTAAAATTCTTTTTCAATTCAATTCAGTTTCGTCTTTACAATCAAACGGATAAATTTTTTTTTTTCCAAAAGAAAAAGAAAATTTTAGGGGCAGAAGCAGAAATTTGAGTAATTAATTAGATATGTCACAATCATTAGAGGTGACTGTGCGGAATTTTTTTTGTATACTTCTTATTTGGCCCCATCGTCTAATCGTAATGATCGGTTCAAACTTGACCCCAGCAGCCAATGACATCCGGTCAGGTATTAAAAAATATATATATTTTATATAAAAAAATAGTTTTTCAATTAAAGTATCAATGCCTATTCGGTAATGATTGTGAAAATTAATTTTTTGATCGTTAGAAAGAAAAGTAACTATCAATTGTGAGTGAATAAATAAAAAATAATGGGACAACAGTAAAAAAAATTGGTTTTTTTAGGTGAAAATTTGCTACCAAATAAGGGCTCAGTTTATTGACAACATAAACAATTAAAGCTCATTTAGTTTGTGATTTAGTTTCAATTTGTAGTTCATTTTCAATTTTTTGCTTTGAGGGTATATTTTAAAATTGTTAAAATGCATTTGGTTTCTCATTTTGAAAAATTATTTTTCAAAACAAAAAAAATTAGAACAACGCGTTTGGTTTTAAATTTTGAAAAATTATTTTATAATATTGTATTACATAAAATTTGATTATT